GCTTGTGTACTTTATATATAATTGTGCCTGCATTAAACAGATGAGAGAAAAAGAGGAGACAACGTTGACTAACATTGAATTGTATTCACATCGCTATCCAAATGTAAGTTGTTGATGTGGTCTTACTTTTAACATAAACATAAAGTGTAATTTCCACACCTCCTGCTGGAGTTTATCCACAGCCTGCGTGACGCCATCCTCCCCCAGCTGCTTGTATTTCTGCTGCATGGTCACCTTCAGGTTCTGTCTGAGCTCCTCATCCAGCTGAGAGTAAGAAATCAAAACTTTAGTGGTTACTCCAAAAAAGATATCTGCTATCTGAAAATGTCATCCCATGAATTAAAATAACCCCTGGTCAAGTTTCTTTCCTCCCTTGTAACATTCCTCTTTACCTGTTCAATGGACTCACAACACTCAAAATATATGAGCAATGTCTAGCTCTACGTGAACATTTACCAAATGGAAAACAATACACATTTGCAAATAAATTGTGTGTTTCTCGACTGAATAAGTGCAAACAATCCATTTCATATCAACCTGTCAGAGAAACAGGTTGATATAAAATGGAGACAGGTGGCAGCAGATTACCTGGTAGCAGAAAGGGAAACACTGGAGCAAGAAAAGGGAGGAAGAGAGAGATGTGAGAAGGATGGAAAAACAGGACAAATGAAAAGCATGCACAGAGAGGCATGCAGAGAAGATTTCACAACAGAGTGCAGACATGCAGGTGTTTCTTCAGTGGTGAAACGATTTGAATAGAAATGACGAAGAAAAATGAATAGTTTTCAAAACATTAAGGGATTATGGAAGAACCAAAATATACAGAAAGAAAAGGAATTGTCTTTTTCAATTGCTGCATTCCAATCTCATATAAATGGTGTCTAGTGAACAACAATACAATCATCTGGTACACACTGTACAAGATGACTTTATGTTGGACTATCAGTCAGTATACTATGTAAAATACTTTACCTCTTGGTAGGTTATGTAAGCCAGCACGCCGGCAATGATTTCCAGCAGGAAAATAGAGATCAACAAGACCAAATACTGAAGGGGATGGACGAGAAATAAACATGAACTAAGCTGTTAATGAACTGAAGTTGAAACATATCAATTCAAGCATTACAAGACAGTGTTTCAGTTCATTTCTGTGCTAACATACAACATTTGATATCATTTTAGACATGGCAATAGCTTTAAAAAGTACCTGTTCATGATTTAAAAACAAAATAAAGGTTTGACTCCAGTGAATTAGTGATTAAAATGGGGGGTAGGAAGTTACTCATTACAGTTGTGGTAGATATGGAACTAGACATAGCGTCATAGAGCTTGTGCAGTTTTACTTCTGTATAATACCCTCTCACTAGTGTCTGTCTGTCTCTCTCACACACTCTTCAGTCCTGCGATGCCGTTCATTCCTCTGGCATGAGCCGCACTCTAAATCTAAACTCTTAAAGACACACTCTGCGTGACTTGTCTGTTGTATCTGACAGCCCTGCCTGACATAATGACCCACACTGAAGGCAGGCAGACGAGACAGAAGGTCACCAGGGATTAACTTTCAACACACGACGACTCGGACAGGTTGTGTGTATAAACAGGAAGTTTAAAGGGGCTATCCTTTTGTTTCAACATAATTAAAGGAACACTGCACCCCAGAAACGATCATGTGTATATAACTTCCTTAGATTCTTATATGGAACTTTATATTTCTTGCATACATCTACTGTGAACGATCAAACAAAAACAGAGGAATTTTAGATGAGTTAAAGGAAATGGGGGCTTCATTTAACAAAAAGGAAAACTATATCAAAACATCTGTTTACAAACTCTCACACAACTTGTGCAAAAATAATCTATGTCTTATTTATCCAGTTGTATGCTCAATACTTCCCAAACACATGCATTTTGGCTCAAACTCAGTGCTATTGCTTCAACAGTACAGTGACAGACAAGTAGCACATCAGTGAAAGAGCACACATTAGAGTTCATTATAGTAAATAATAGAGTTTCTATGTGGTTGGAAATTATTGAGCATACGACTAGAGGAATAAAGTGATATTATATTACACAAGTTGAAAGAGTGCTTTGATAAAGTGTTCCTGTCTTTAAGCATGTGCCACATTTACTTAAAGTGGACTTATTATGCTATATTTGAATAATATATTGTAGGGCCATATATATATAAAACATATCTGCGACGTTTTTTTTTCAAAATACCAAACGGATCATGCATTTTAGCCATGCCTCATTTCGCTCTTTTTTAGCCCTGTTTTTGCAAAGGCTGATTCTGTGAGAAGTCTTCTTCGCTGCTTTTGTGGCAGACTACAGCGCCACCTATAGGCCTGGCATATGTGCTACAGCGTCTCCAGCGCTTTTGAACGGCAATGGCCCTGGCTGTCTCCTCCTGATAGGTGGAGAGTTGCCCATATAGGCGGAGCTCCTCGTTTCTGACGTCAGAGATATTTCAAATCTGGATCAGTCTGTATCAGATCCGTTACAGCCCCTTTTTTAGAGATTTGGGTACGGAGGAAAATAGAGAGGGTTGTGTTTTCTGACACTTGGTGAGTTCCCTGACACACCGGGGACACATATTCATGTATAAAAGACGTACAAAAGTGCATTTTGCATGATAGGTCCCCTTTAAATTCTTCAGGAATATTCTAAATGTTTTGTTTCCTCTTTCACCACGGAGGGATTTGTAGACAAACAATTATTTTGAGGGTGACAAAAAAAATGTATATATAAAAATAGGTTATTGCTTTATTGGACTGAAGAAAAATCGAACTATATTAATATTTAAATGTAATTTAATTTCTCGGTCCCTGGGCACTGCTTTGCGTCTGCTCCATCTTACCACAATCAAGAGAGCCCTCATCTCCTTCAGAGTGGCACAGCATCCAATGATCCCGGTCACTATCACAATGACCCCGGCAGCTATCAGGATGTAAGCTGAGGCAGAGTAGAAGCTGGAGTTCAGTAGACTGATGTAGTCGCTCTTTTCCACCAGAGTCCACACTCCCACTGCCAGCACAGCCGCTCCTGCCAGCTGAAGGAACGCACCGTTATCAGGGCAACTCAAACCAGATGCTCTTATGAAGAATGCTCCACATAACGTTTTTACAGGGCTCCTAAAATGTGACAGTGATGCAAAAGGACTACGCCTTCTTCTTTCCCTGCCAGCCTCAAGAAACTTTCAGCTAAATGAGTTTTTATTAGCTGATGAGTAGGTTTTTTTAGTATAATTGTATTTATTGAAACTATGTGGGGCATTGTATCACACACTTTCATTGATTATAAGGAAGTTGTTTCTCCAACAATAGATATGAAAGCAAGCTGTGATATGACACAGTGTTGTAAGAGGAGCCTCTATGTTAGTCTCTGAGGCATATGGCTATTATAGGTAAATGTTTATTATTACAACTAATGTTATTCATATTTATCCCAGTATCCAAAGGAGCTCTTAACATAGAGTTTTTTTGACTTACCCAAAACAGAATGTTAAAGAGAAAAAGTAAATACTTCAGACAAATTGTCCCACAGCTGAGTCTGTTTCCACCTTGAGCTTCCATTCTGAAATAGAACATATACATGTTAGTACACTTCATGTTGATGTGCATTACCAAATCAAAAACTTTCAGGAGAAGATTGAAAAACATAGACATAATGAACACAAGCAGAGAGATAGTCGACTCTGCATTAATACTAAAGCAAAGATTATTATCACACAATTAACTATCTTTGTACTCGTAGGACAGCCAACTAAATCCTATTAGGGTCATATCTGATTGAGACTTGTCACCATAAACATTTAGGAATGTCCTCTTTCAGTCTGATTTACATGCTTCACTACAGCACACATATCATATTCGGACTAGTATTTAACGTTTTGTATGTTAGTTTTGAGTATAATCTAATAGTATTGTCATACTGATATTCTGTACAAACTGTGAAGTCCACTGAGACAAATGTAACATTTGTGATATTGGGCTATATAAATAAACATTGATTGATTGATTGATTGATTGAT